CTTGATAAAAAAAATTCAGAGACATGAGGGATATTTGGACAGGAAGGAAGTTAATCATGGTGCAGTCCAAAGCCAAATTCATTTTCAACTTCAGTGAAGTTCGAAATGAATAAACTACAGTGAGATTATCACTATATAAAATGAAGCAAAAACAACTAAGTTGTTTAATAAACCATACTATATTAACATACAGCACAAAAATGATAAAAGTAAATTAAAGTAAAAGAATAAGTGAAAATTAACATGTCTTAACACTACTGTGCCAAACTGTGCAGTGAAAATTGGGTTCTACAGTATAGAGGAAGAAGCCAGTTATGATAGGAGAGTGTGTTGTGCTCCTATGGGTGGAGGGTTGTCACATGCTTATATGCATGCTACAATGCAGCTAAACCATGTAGAAACATGATGTATGTGGGAGTTTCAAGGCTAGTGTAAAGTGGAAACATTTATACATATAAAGGGCAGCACTGAATGAGAAAAGCTATTGTGTGAGGTGAGGTAAGATATATCGGAATTTAAATGTTTTACATATACAGTATATCTGATATCAGGAATTTCCCAGTGAATAACACAATAAATCTTAAAAGATATGTGTCATGGTTTCTCCATTCTTTACTGATACCCATAATTTGTCCTAACCATAAAATTTCCTTTGTACCATCTTTAATACACTTAGTTTCACCCAGTACCTTTTAGTCTGATTCTGTTAGATAGGTTACTTTAATCTAATGACCCATGATGTCTTACCTTTAACGCTTGGACATGTACCTATGCCTCAGTCTAATGAATCATTCAACAACTTTGCTAGCTCTATAAAAGCTTTCAGCTTAAGTAAATTTTGTGTATAGTAATAATGGCATTCATTTCTATTAATGTAAATACAATAATGTTATGTATCTGCTTGTTTGTTTGTTTCCTGTATAAATTCTTTCCGAGAATCTTCAGCAATACAAGTCCTTTCTTGATTAAACCAGTTTATTCTTCCTTGATTCAAACTTTTAGTACACAGTGGTTCCACAATCAGTACGTTTCTCGTCACTTTAAACTTAACAAATTTTATAATACATGCTATAAATCACAGCGATTCACAGTCTCGATAACTTCGCTCTCGATTAGTGCAAAACACACACACTTTACGGCTCACTAGCTCGAAACTAACAGAATCATAAATTACACTGAACTCAAAGTAACTACTGCTCTCTCTTCATTCATCCCCGCTGGCTTTCTCTGCCAGGCTTATATACTAACGAAAAGGGCATCTCGAAAACACTCAGACTTCCCCAATCATTCGAGAAACTCATCACATACACCACCAGTGCCAATGCATCAGCAGCATCACGTGACTTCCGCTGTCATAACAATAATGATGTCATCTCCAGAATGTATTTATTGGCTCAATATTTCACTACTGCAGATTCGTTAGGAGCTATTGACAACCTACGAGTTCACAATTTAGTGAACTTATATAGATATCTCCTGATGAAGCTGTAATAGCCAAATATTGACCCAATACAGTTACATTTTGTAAACATAGGTCATTATTTTATTTACCTTAATAGAAATGTCTCAATAATAAACTCCAGTTTGAATTAAACAGAGTTAAGAATAATAATAGCATTCAATCTATCTTATACGAGATGTTTGAATGGAATACAATGTAAAGCTTGTCATACAGTGTAATTATAGCAGAATAAATAACTAAGTTATAACAGTGTATAATTCCTTGGTAAGATAAGAAATAGTCAAATAAGCTTTCTCTACTTACAGGCTCAAAACATTTAATATTACTACACACACGAGAAAGCATGTGAAGCATTCTTATACAGAATCATAACAACTTAAAAAATGAAAAGACATGATATAAATCTTACAAGTCTGTGAAAATGTCCAACGATAAGTTTTGAGAAACATTTAGACCAACAAATCAGAAAAACTTCAAATGATAAATGCAAGAACTCTTGATATACCTGTTAGACTATATACTTTCCAAAAGCTTAGTATATTTCCTACAATAAGAATACAAAATACATTGTAATAAATAAGTTTTAGCCAGTTTTATACAAAATAGCAATAACATTCTTACTCTGAAGAGCACAATTTATATATTATTAAAAGCAAGAACTCTTAACATAACTGATAGACTATACACTTTTGAAAAGCTTAGTATATTTTCTACAATAAAAATACAAAACGCATTGTACAAAATAAGCTTTATCCAGTTTTATACAAAATAGCAATAATATTCTTACTCTGAAAAGCACAATTTATAAATTAAGCAAAATTATAAAAACTTAAAGCTGTAGAAACATGTTTAGGTAACAATCAGTTACTACTCTCTAAAAGAAATTAAACTTCTAATTGCATGAATGACCTGATTCACACATTAAAAAGGGGACTCTCTCATTAAATATACTGATAACAGTTATTAATAGTGGAGATACAGAAAAACTAAGACTTAAAATTTGATTGCCTGGTGTTAAAATACAGGACAAAGTGATTACCATTTAGTTACAAGTTACAAGGAGCATTCTCTCATTTTAATGCATGTAGAGTGAATGATGTTCAAAATGCAAATCCCAAGAGCTGCTTAACAAGTAAAAAAATAACTCCTATATAACTCCTGTGCTCACTCAGCCTAAATGTGAAAATGAATTACTTACTACAGAAAGATTATAAGGGAGATGCTTACAGCAATGAAAGGAATGGTTGGATTTATGGGTGAATTTTGTAATGGTGAATTATATGTCAGAAATGAGCTCCACTTTAACAGATTAAGTAATACAGTGTGTGTGGAAGCTCTAAGTATATTCATTGAAGAAACTTATATTTATCCTGAATAGTGGTGAGACAGCTTTGAAAACTGAACAAAGAAATTTATAGGATAGAGCAACAAGATGTTTGGAAAAAAGAAGGTTTAGAGCATAACTTAAATAATAGTTTTAAATTTAAAAGTAAGTCTTTCAGATTCAACCCTTTGACTGTGGCTGCTTTAAGTACATGCAGAATTTTAAGTGCCAATTATTTCAGCCTACATTTCACCTGATCAGACACATGAGGTAAATGAGAAATTGTATAATAAAATTAGAGTTGTTATTAATAAAATTACTGATTCAATAATCATGAACAATTTTAATTTTATACACACTAACTGGATGTACCACAAGTTTAAATAAAAAGACTGCTAGAAAGATTTATGGAAATATTGTAAAGCTATGGATTTCAATTAAAATAAAATTAGGAAATCCAAAAGCATTTATAAATTCAGATGGATGATAATGTTAAAACTAACAGCAAAGATAATGTTAAAGATAATTAAAATTATGAA